GAACAACTCCAGTATTGCAAAAAACAAAACACAAAACTATAATTTGGTAACCACAAAGCAGAGCCTATGGACTGGGATCATGGCTCGGCGGTAGAGCACTCACCTAGCACGTGCAAGGCCCTGGGTTCGATCCTCAGCACCACATAAAAATAAATAAAGTAAAGATATTGTGTCCAACTACAACTAAATAAATAAATAAATAAATAAAAGCAGAGCCAATAATACCTAAAAAATAAAAAGGCAACAAATCAAAACATACTGCTAGAGAAAGTCTCTTAACCACACAGGGGGAAAAAGAAAAGATCTAGCCAGGTGCAATGGCACACACCTGAAATCCAATTCTAGCTCAGGAAGCTGAGACAGGAGGTCCTGAGTTCAAAACCCAGCTTCAGCAATTCAGTGAGGCCCTGAGCAACTTAGCAAGATCCTATAGATCTCAAAAAAAAACCAAACAGGGGTTGGAGGTGGGAGTTGGAAGGGAGGTGCAGGGCTGAGATATGGCTCAGTGGTTAAGTGTCTCTGGTACAAAAAAAAAAAGAGAGAAAGAGAGAGAGAGAGAGAGGATCTGAAACAAGCTTTCATTTGACAATTACGTGCTTAAAACGTAATTCAACCTATAAAAATTTCTATCAATATACTTGTAAGCAATGAATAATATATTTACTAGCAAAAGCGAAATAAAACATCTTAGGAGACTGAAGCAAAATAGCTTGAAGTCAAGAGTTGAAAGCGAGTCTGAGCAACATAGAGAGACCCACCCATAAAATAATAAAATAAATATAGTAAGATCTGTAGAGATGGAAATTATAGACACACACGTGTACATGATACACACACACACACACACACACACACACACACACACAATCAGCATTCCTATTATTGTGATTGAAGCTGGTTTCAAACTTGCAATACTCCTGCTGTAGCCTCTTCGGTAGCTGAGATTACAGGTGTATACCACTGTGCTCAGCTATAGTTATATTTTTAAAACAATAAAGGTCTTACCCCTCCCATATCAAAATTATCTTCCTTTTTTTTTTTTTTGGTGGTGCTGGGGATGGAACCCAGGACCTTGTGCATACAAAGCAGACACTCTACCAACTGAGGTATATCCCCAGCCCAGGATGACTTAATTTTTAATTAGGGTTATAATATCAAATTAGGGTTATAATATCAGTCTTGAATAATCACTTACATGTTCTCTTAAATCAGAAAGATTCTTGTACTTACCAGTGACGTCTGATCCTCAAATGGTCTTGTAATATTTTTCCTAAGAATATTAAAAAAGTAACCCCAAATTTAATAATCTTGATAAGTAAATTCAATTAATATATAAAAGATAATTTTTATTAAGATGATTCAAAAAACAGAAATCTGGGCATGGTGGCACACCAGCAATCAGGAGGCTGAGGCAGGAGGACCACAAATTCAAAGCCAGCCTCGGAAACTTAGCAAGGCCTTAAATAACTTAGTGAGACCCTATCTCAAAATAAAAAATAAAAAGGGCTGAGGAGGTGGCTCAGTGGTTAAGTGCCCTTGGGTTCAAACCCTAATACCAAAAATAAATAAATAATAAAAAACAGATATCCATTCAAATATTTATTTAGTGTCTATTATATGATAGCCAGTGTTCCAGGATTTAGGGATGCTATAATACTACATCAAATAAAGTACTTTCTTTCATGGAGCTATTCTAGTAGAAAAATAAATACATTCAAAAAGTAATAATTATTATAACAAAAATAAAATATGATATTGTGTTACCATAAAGAGTATAACATGACAATAAAGTGGTTATTTTTATAATAAAACAAAATAATTTAAAATAAAATTTTTTAAAATCATGACTTACTTTTTATATAGAACGCCATATGGTTTTTTCAGTGCATACTGTAAAACATAATTTATAGCTTTTAAAACAAAACATTCTGAAAAGCAGAAATAACAATAAAGCATTACATGCATTCTACGAGTCTGCTTTAGTCACTGAATCCTGTTCTGATGTCTTTTGTTTGGCTCCCTTTTGATCACATACAATAATTTGTAACATAAGCTTAATATTCTTAGACTAGATTTTCCTATTTCAAAGTATCCATACCCTTTCAATAGTCTATCCAACTTAAAATAATTCCCTTCATTTCTTTAAACTCTACCTAGTCCATTCTCTCTAAGCAAATAACCTAGATTAGAAAGAAGAGCAAAAGATAACAGAAAACTAAATCCTATCTGAAAGCACTTACAATCAAAATGACTTTGGAGATACAAGAACTCAGCAAAAGTCATCACAATGATGACAATTAGAATACTAGCCAGAGTTTATTTCATTTATTTTGCAGTGCTGAGAATTAAACTTTGGCACTTATGCACACTAGGCAAGTGCTCTACCACTAGGCTACATCATTGGCCCTACGCTGGGTTTAAACACAGCCCTTTAAAAAATTGCTGCTGCCAAGTGCTGTGATACACACCTGTAATCCCAACAACTCAGGAGACTGAGACATAAATTACAAGTTCGAAGCCAGCCTAAGCAACTCAGTGAAACCCTGTTTTAAAATAAAAAATAAAAAAGGCCTGGGGATATTGCTCAGTGGTTAAGCACCCCTGGGTTCAATCCCCAGTACCAAAAAAACAAAACAAAAAATTGCTGTTACCCAACCCTCTTCTTTGTTTTCCCACTTCTTATCTGTATGACCACCAGTACTGCTCTACCAAAAAGAATAGCAAATATGTAAAGCATTGCCTTGTATCAGAAAAAGGAGTCAGTGAGAGAAAACAATGAAATAAAAGGAAATGATCATTCATCAACTATAAGAGCTAGTAAATAGAGAAACTCTTGTGGGTTGGGATATAGCTCAGTGGTAGGGCACTTGCCTGGCATGAAAAAACTCACCAGTGAAATATACCTTCTCAAATACCAAAACTCTGGAAGATTCTTCTTATCCAATGTTTCCCTGTCTCAGAGTAATGAACATTACTACCTTTTTTTCACAACACAGTCATCGTTATGAATGTTAACTACTGTAATAATGTGTGATACAGTTTATAGCTATTAGAGCTTGTTTAAATATGTAGGGATCATTCGGTTGACAGAATAGTGTCCTAACAAAACAATGAAATTTAGAAACATTTCAAAAAAGGATGAGTACAAATTAGGTATTTAGATATCTGAATTGACTATATTTAATAAGCATAAAGAATTTAGTCAATTTCAAAAACTATTTTACTTGATTTAACTCAAAGAATCTATCAGCTATACTCAGGATTCGATACTCAACTATCTACAAGTATCTCCACACATTATGCCCCATTCATTGATTAAATACTCACTGAGCACCCAATATGCCTAGACTCTGGACTAGGCACCAGGTATAGAAGTAGGAAAAAGTTTTATATCTTCACTATGTAAATTAGGTCCCAAACTTGGACCTAACTTAAATAGTGAACCTGCCCCACCTTTTACAGTCTCTAATCGCCATTACTGCCCAGCAGGCCCACAGGCCAAAAAGCTGGGAAGTTGTACTTCTCACTAATGCCCAAACTATTCTGCCCTCAACATCTATTCTCTGATCAATCCTCATTTTCATTTTACCATCACCAGACTCCAGGTTCTCTTTACCAGGCTAACAGCAACAACGTGGTTGCCCATATTTGCTCTCTGGCCTTTCTAATCAAGTCAAGAAAATGAACTGATCAACTCTTTCACTTAAAATCTGCCAATGACTCCACAGGACTTTTGGAATAAAATTCAAATTCCATATTAACATGTGACTTCTGACTCTTCTGGCTTCACATAGTACATCTCCTTTAGCCAGCCCAATTATTTGCAGTGCTCCAAATGCTCCTTCACGTGCACTTTTGCCCAAGATTCTTCCTCAGCTTGAAAGCCCTTCTCTTTGTATCTTCTTGCTCCAAATACTCCTTCAAAATGAAGCTTACATGTTATTTCCAGGAAGCCCATTTTTGGGGGGTCCCCCTAAGTGATGTGAACTATTTCCCTTTCTACCCTCTGCATACCTCCAGCACAGCATTTAATTCTTAATACTTTAAGCTCACTAAAAGGAGATGCTATGTTTTTCTATTATTCCCAGTACTAAAGGACAGTAAATGGCATTGTTAAATGAATAAATACATAATGATATTCAGTTACTTCACTTTGCAAATTAAATGTGTTCCTAAAAGGGCTGGAGATGAGCTCAGTGATAGAGTGCTCTTTGTCTACCATGTATAAGATCCCAGGTTCCATTTCTAAGGCAGTGGGGTGGAGAGAAAAAAAAAAAGTAGAGCTGAGATACATTCCTAAAATAAATTCTGTAATTAAAACTAGTTTAATTTACTAAGGGAACTACCTGCTTTAAGGAAAACCAGTAGTCAGTGAGGTGGGAAGAAAAATAACCTCTAATTTCAGATCTTCTCGAAGGCTAGTAAATCTTTTTATTTTATTTATTTATTTAAATGTTTATTTATTTGTTTGTTTTTAGTTGAAGGTGGACAAGAGACCTTTATTTTACTTTTTTTTTTAATGTGGTATTGAGGATCGAACCCAGTGCCTCACACATGCTAGGCAAGTGCTCTACCTCTGAACCACATCCCCAGCCCAAGGCTAGTAGATCGTAAGGTAACTTTACCATTTCTCCAGCAGCCCAAACCAGTATGCTGAAAGCTTCTAAAATGACTTCAGTAGTACTTAAACATTAAGTATATATACATACCATATCTTTAAGTACTTGTGTCACTATTGCATTTGCATTTCCCCCTTTAATCATCATGGCATTTTTAATATTTTCACTGAGCTTTGGTTCTCTCTTCTCAAGGAATCTCTTGGCCCTTTTCGTTTTGGGTTTTCTGTTAAGAAAAGCATAATTCATAACAATGCAAACATTTTCCTCACATTGCAAAATCAAGACTTTAACAAGGAGAAAATTCTAAAAAATCAAGGAGACATTACATTCACATATTTATCAGTTAGGATTCCAACATTAATATCTCACATTTTATTAGAAAAAGACACTCTATCACTATTAAACAAGCATTTTGTTAGCTTTTGGTTTTCTTAAAAAAACTTTCATTTTAATATTCCTAATATTCTTCTTCTTTTTTTTTTTTTTTTTTTTTGAGGTGCTGGGGATTGAACCCAGGGCCTTGTGCATGCAAAGCAAGCACTCTACCAACTGAGCTATATCCCCAAATTGCAGCATTCCTTTATTATTGTTGTTTTCTAAATCTTTATTTTTTTTAATTGTAGAAGGACACACAATATCTTTGTTTATTAATTTATTTTTTATTGGTGCTGAGGATTCAATCGGTGTCTCACACATTGCTAGGCAAGCGCTCTGCCACTGAGCTACAGCCTCAGCCCCGTCTTTTTATTTTTATTTTATTATTTTTGGCACTAGGAATTGAACCCAGGGGCACTTAACCACTGAGTAATATCCCCAGCCCTTTTTATTTTGAGTAGGGTCTTGCTAAGTTGCTTAGGGCCTAAGTTGCTAAAGCTACCTTTGAATTTACGATCCTCCTGCCTCAGCTTCCTGAGCTGCTGGGATTACAGGTGTGTGCCACTAGGCCCAGCTTCCTTTTTTCTTTTTAATTAAAAAAAATAAAGAACCAGACAGGTGTGATGGTGTACACCTATAATCATAGGCAGGAGGATTGCTATTTGAGGCCAGCCTGGACAACACAGAAATATCCCAACTCAATTAAAAATAAATAAGCATAGCAGAATACAACAGTTACTAATATGGCATTATGTAAAAATGTGGATGTGTAACCGATGTGATTCTGCAATCTGTATTTGGGGTAAAAATGGGAGTTCATACCCACTTGAATCTAATGTATGAAATATGATATGTAAAGAGCTGTGTAATGTTTTGAACAACCAATAAAAAATAAATAAAAATTAAAATTAAAATTAATTGAAWCTTAAATAAATAAATAAATAAATAAGCAAATAAAGGGCTCAAGTGGACATTATTTTTATTCCCCCCCAAATTTAAAGTAGACAAACTGTACCCTGCACACTAACACAAAGAATTGTATATCAACTGCTGATCAACCTGTGGATATTTATTAAATACAGGATATTTACTAAATATAGATATTATTTACTAATATAGGTATTGCTTATCTTTTCTTCCAGATTTAAGACCAAGTACCTACCAGGAAGTATATATTATCTCACTCCAACATCACTGCTGAGAAAGTCTAATAACTACCAAAGAGTAATCTTGGATATTAAGAATTAATTTTGGGCTGGGGATGTGGCTCAAGCGGCAGCGCGCTCGCCTGGCATGCGTGCAGCCCAGGTTCGATCCTCAGCACCACATACAAACAAAAATGTTGTGTCCGCCAAAAGCTAAAAAAAATAAATATTAAAATTCTCTCTCTCTCTCTCTAAAAAAAAAAAAAAAAAAAGACTTAATTTTCACCACAACCCTAAGAGACAGTACACTTATGATCTTCACTTTATAGATAAAGCAAAGACTTGATAAGTAATCTTCCTAAGGTCATGCAGCTAGTAATAAGGCTCAACTTCACAATGAGCTAGATTTAAAAACTCATCTAAGACAATTACCTAAGAAACAAAGAAGGGAAAATAAATTATTATTCTGACTTTATGGTGTGAAAATAGAACTACATGTTTTGTTTTGTGGTTTTTTTGTTTGTTTGTTTGTTTGTTTTTTGTGGTATGAAGGACTAAACCTAGAGCCTAGTTCATGCCAGGTACTTTACAACTAAACTATAATCCCAGCCTAGGAGTACCATGTTTTTATACATTTCTTTTCAAAAAAGCGTGTCACCTTTACCTCCTCTAATGGTGAACATTATAGGCAAGCATCTTGCTTTTCAAACAGTTCTAAGCCATCTATTGAAAGAATTCATCCTCTCTTAAATAACCATGACCCTTCTTCTTCTGGTCCTATGAATACTTCAGGAAGGAAAAGAAACACAGAATATACACAACTTTAAATTCCCATGTAGAACTAATAAGGCTAAATCAGGAGGATCGCTAAAGCCCAGGAATTAGAGACCAACCTGGGCAACATAGTGAGACCAGGCTTACAAACAAAAAGTTCAATACAAGATTAGAAAAGGTTTGCTTTTTGTTGTTGTTGTTTAAAGCTATGTGAAGGCTTATTCCTTCATATATTACTCTTCATCTCTAAACAATTCTCAGGAGACTAAGAGAATAAAATTTCCAGGAGCTGTATGATGAATGAATCCTTTTTTATATTTGGTAATGAGAACTGAACCCAGAAGCAGTTTACTACTGAGCCACAGTCCTTTTTGTTTTGGAAAAAAAAAAAAAAGCTGCTGAGGTTCTTGCTAAATAGCTGTGGCTGGACCTCAAATTTATAATCCTTCTCTCTCAATCTCCAGAATTGCTGGATCACAGTCCTTGATCTCTTACAAAGTTGCATTGGAGGGGCTGGGGATGCAGCTCAGTGGAGAGTAGCTTATCTAGTCTACCATACACTGGTCCTGGGTTTAGTCCCTCCCCACCCCTGGATTTAAAAAAAAAAAAAAAAGTTTAGAATTTCCTCTCCAGATAAATGTCACATATAAAGTTTTTAATCATTTACTGGTTAATAAAGATACAAATTATTTACTAAATCAAATCAAGAAATATGTAGTGTGAGCCAGGCACGGTGACATATGCCTTTAATCCCAGTGATTAAGGAGGCTTGCTAGTTCAAGGCTAGCCTCAAGCAATTAGCAAGACCCTGAGCAACTTAGCGAGTCCCTGTCTCAAAACAAAAAAGGCTGGGGATGTGGCTCACTGTTTAAGCTTCCTTGGGTTCAACCCTCAGTACAAAAACCAAAGAGAAAAAATATGCAATGACTTTATGGCAACAAATGGTATGCGCTCTATATTCTATGTGGTTTATTACTTCTCACGAATCAGCAACGAACACCAAAAAACACTTTTACATGTTTTATTAACTGTTTGTCCCTCTATTACACTGAAAATTAGTCATACTCATCTTTGTAGTCCCAACACCTAACGATATAGTAGGTTGCAAAATCTCTGAATTAATGACTAAAAAGAAACAATCACTTAGATTACACATTAACCTCGGGAAGGCCCAAGAAAACCATTGCCAATCAGAGCAGAAATATTTAGGAGCTCAATACATATTTTTTGTACGAATTTAAAATAAACATCACTCCAGGATAACTCCAAGATAACAAGCGTGCAAAGCTGGAAGAAAAGAAAACGCCAATGAACATTTTCCAAATGCTGTAGAAAAAGCTGTTAGGTACATTCGCCAAACTCACAGCGCTATGAAGCACGAATTATGATCACTATTTTAGAGTGAACTGAGATCTACAAGGTTTAATGGCAAGTTTCAAAGCCTTGTGCACGCGCCCGGGTAGTCACCTAGACTGTCAGGTTCCGAGGCCTGGACTTTTTTTTTTTTTTTTTGAGAAGAGAGAGAGAGAGAGAGAGAGAGAGAGAGAGAGAGAGAGAGAGAGAGAGAGAGAGAGAGAGAGAGAGAGAGAGAGAGAGAGAGAGAGAGAGAGAGAATTTTATTTATTTTTTAGTTTTTTCGGCGGACACAACATCTTTGTATGTGGTACTGAGGATCGAACCCGGGCCGCACGCATGCCAGGCGAGCGCACTACCGCTAGAGCCGTATCTCCAGCCCAGGCCTGGGCTCTTAACCCCTTCCTCTACCATCTCACTCACACTCCAGAAGTCAAGACATTTTTGAGACTGGAATAAAAGCGGCAACGTCTCCGTCCCTCCTCTCACGCTGCCGCTCCCAGTTGGAGGCTTCCCGCTCTCAGTCTCCCGGCAGGCTGTACCAGCGGAGAAGACCCGCGTTAACCGGAGCGGTCACCAAAAGAGAGATGGCAGCACAGGCAATATCGCTCTCCTCCCAGGGCACCCTCTTCCCAACATTCCCCAGGCAGGATCCCATGCACTTACATAACTCGATCCAAGGCGTCCATGACTACCACAGCCCCAGACTCGAGAAAGGGAGAAGTCGCACGGTTACACCAAGCGGGCTAGTGCAACCTAGCAAGCGGAACCGGAAACCGTAGTGACGATACTTCCGGAGACTGCCCCGCCCCTGGCCGCCATCTTGAGTCAGATCGCTTTTTGTTGCCTTGGTTACCATGCTTTGGTTCTTTCCCAGAAATTGAAATAATACTTAAAATGACTTAGCCCCTCAGCTTGATGTACACGCTCGTGTGTACCTGGAGTCAGGTATTTAGGGAACACTGGATATCAAAAAGGTTGAAAGGATGATGGGTACTCATGTAGTAACTAAAAAACAAAATGTGAAACACCATTGATAGAACTTTAAGCTCCGATAAGGCAGTTTTCTGTTTTTTGTGTGTATGGGGGGGGGGTTCGGGGGTCGGGCCGGGCATCGTCTCACTAACTTAGGGAGCCTGGCATGGAACTTTCCGTCCTCCTGCCTCAGCCTCCCTTGTCAATTATATTACTGGYATGTGACACTTGCTCTCCAAGACAGTTTATGACAACCGTAGTTGCTTAGTATATAAAAGGCATGCCAAAGGACCGCTGATCGTGAATTTTTCCTAAATATTTAAATTTTTGTGGTTGTAGATGAACACTATGCCATTATTTTATTTGTTTACTTATATGTGGTGCTGAGGATTGAACCCAATGCCTCACATGTGCTAGGCAAGAGCTCTTTACTACTGAGCCACAACCCTAGCCCCCAAATTACCATAAAATTCTCGCCTTTATGTGTACTATTCAATGGGTTTTGTTACATTCACAAAGAGATGCAACCATCAACAGTAATTTCAGAATATGTTAYCGCCTCAAAAAGAACCCCACCTCGGCTGGGCACGGAAACACACGCTTGTAATCCCAGCGGCTCCGGAAGCTGAGGGAGGAGCATCGCAGGTTCAAAGACAACCTCAGCAAAAGGTGAGGTACTAAGCAACTCAGTGAGACCCTGTCTCTAAACTTAAAAAAAAAAAAAAAAAAAAA